GCGGTGGGAGATTTTGATTTTGATTTTAATTTTAAACTTTTTATTTATTCCTGTGGCTACGAACTAATAATTTACGGCTTTTACACTGTGTGAAATAAAGACTTTTGAACTATTGTGTAATTTATTTCTAAAAGAAGACTTTTAGGAAAGGATATAATTGAAAATCTTGGAAGAAACTATACCCTTGCCTCCCAGGTAAGTTCAGGATAATTATTGCTGATTTTAACTGTATATATTGTTTTTAAACTGTATATATTGGATTTTAAATTATATTTATTTATATTGAATGGTTTTATTTTGGATCCTTTTAACTATGCACATTTTAAATTGTAATCTTAATCATTGTAATGCTGCGGCATGCCGGCTCTCTGCAATAGATAATATTTCTGAGGATATCCCTGATATTGTTACAGTTCAAGAACCTTATTATATTGGAAAGAAAATGGCTTATATTAAAAACAGTTGGAGGACCATCCATGCAGATACAGGAAGAGCTGCTATTGTTGTCGTAAACCCTGGGATTGAATTCATAGTTAAACACGCTTCTGATATTATCGTTGCCATTGAAATACAGAAAGAGGGAAGGAATTATGGTGTGATTTCAGTTTATTTTTCCCCTGTGGAATGTTTGAATACGTATCTTTTAAAATTAGAAGAAGTTATATCTGTTTTTAAAGACAGTTTTATTATTATTGGAGATTTTAACTCAAAGAATTTTATTTGGGGGGCTAAGAGTCTTGATGAAAGAGGGGTTTTAACTTCAGATTTTATCATTTTAAATGATTTGATTTTATTGAACAAAGAAAATTCTAGACCCACCTTCTCTTCTGCATGTGGAGATGGATATACGGATTTGGTGTTGTGTTCTCCAAATTCTCTTATTGAGAACTTTGACATGCAAATATTGGAGGAAAATTCCCTTAGCGATCATAACTATATATTTTGATAAGTATAAAGGATGTTAGTATTAAAGATAAGAGGGATATTATTCTGTCAAATAATGTTAAAAGAATTGATAGATGTTGCGTTAAGATGAGAAGGTTTATTTTTGAGATTGAAGACCGTATTGTCAATACGAAGGATGCTGGGGAATTTAATGATTTAATTTTGTATATGGAGAAGCGAATTGAAGAAAGAATGAGAAGAGATTTAAAAGTGTGAGATACGACAACGTAGTGGTACTGCTTGGTGGAATTATGAGCTGAATACTCTTAGAAGGAGAGTCAGGGCTATCCGCAAGAGTTGCCAGGTGAAAGACTTGGATGATGAAACTAGAATACGAAGAAAAATAGAATATAAAAAATGTTTGGCTTTTTATAAAAAGAAAATTAAAAAGGTGAAGGGTGATTTCAGAAATAGGGCTTTTATTCAAGACAAGGAATATTACGAAGGAATTTTTAAGGTTGCTACGAATAAAATTAAGAAACAGATTATATTACGAGATAGTGATAATAGAGCGGCTACGGATGTAAAGGAAGAATATTTGAAAATTGTTAAAAAGACACTGAATATTGAAACTGATGAAATTGATGATCCTGATAATAATGGTGATAACTTTGGTAATGACGACTTAGATGGTGAATTGGACTTTACCTACGAAGAAATTAGGGAAGTCATTTTAAGTCTTAGAGACAGAGCCGCTCCAGGATTGGATGGAATTCGGGCAAGAGTTGTAAAAAGATTGTTTGTGAACTATCCTTCGTTTTTTATTATTTTGTTTAATAAATGTTTGTCTTTGCATGTTTTTCCTATTGCCTGGAAGATTGGAAGATTAATTTTGTTGCCTAAAAATGAAGATAAATATCGCCCAATTTGTCTATTAAAGGTTTTTGCTAAGGTATTGGATAAGCTAATTGTAAATAGACTTTTATATGTCATAAATGATAAACAACATCTTGCGGAAAATCAATATGGATTTAGGAAAAGAAGATCTGCTAATCTGGCACTCTTTAGGGTAGTTGATAAAATACGTAGAATAAAAAGTATTGAACATGTCGCGGTTGTTTTTTCTTTCGATGTCAAGGCTGCTTTTGACTCTGTTCGATGGTCCTCCGTATTAAATAAATTATTTGAGCTGAAGATTACAAAAGATCTTTATTTACTTATCAGGGATTATTTTAGTAATAGAAGAATTGTTTTTAAGGGATTTTCAGAAGATTTAGATATAAATTTGGATATGTTTAAAGGCTGTCCGCAGGGATCGTGTAGTGCTCCCCTGTTCTGGGCCCTAATAGTTAATACTCTCCTTGTGGATTTTGATGTTTCTAATGCAGAAATAATTTGTTATGCAGATGATATTCTGCTTATTATTAAGGGCTCCTCTCTGGAAAAAATACAACATACCTTTATAAAAGTTGAAGAGCAGATGTTGAAGTGGAGTAAATCTGAAAATATTTATTTTAATGTGGAAAAGACTTTTGGACTTTTCTTTCCTAGAGGGGGTGCTAGAACTAGAGCACCAAAATTGAAATTTGAGGGTAAGAATATCCGTTTTCAGAGAAATATAAAATATCTGGGTGTTATTATAGATGAAAAGCTAAATTTTATTGAACATTTTAAATCTATACATAGAGAAACTGATAGAATTTTACATTTTTATCGTAGTACTTTTAATACAGAAACTTTGCATAAAAAAGCGCCGATACTGAAGAGAATTTTTAACAGTGTTATCTTACCTAAGATTTTCTATGGAATAGGTGCTTGGGGTGCTAGGGCAGGGGAGTTGATCCGCTTGCGAGATAAATTGAATACTTTGCAGAGAAGCTGGATGCTGGCAGTTACGAGAGTCTTCAGGACAGTCTCTACAGAGGTGGTCTGCCTCCTTGCTGGTGTCCCGCCCCTCTCATTCCAGTATAATTTTTATTATAAAAAATTTTTACTTTCGAATAATTTGGTTGATCATATAGATATAAATGAATGTGTTATTAAAAGTGAAGCGTTTCTAAATTTTGATGATGATTGTATTCATCCTAGTAATAAGATTTTGATTCCTTATGACTGTGCATTTCTCGAATGTCAGGAAATGAATATTTTCACAGATGGTTCAGGACTCGAGGGGGGTATTGGAGGTGCGATCGTGGTATTCTTCTATGGAATTGAAATACAAAATTGGAAATTTCGTTTAAATTCTATGAATTCTGTCTATCAAGCAGAAATGTATGCTATTTTTGAAGCTCTCAATTGGATTAAAGGCACATTGAAAATTAGATATAATATAAATATTTATTCTGATGCATTGTCGGTGCTACAGACCCTCTCGGGTCCTGAAAGTAAAAACTCTCTTGTATTTGAAATAAAAAAGACATATGCACAATTGAAAGATATACATAATATTAAGCTTCACTGGATAAAAGCACATGCAGGATATGAAGGGAATGAGAGGGCGGACGAATTAGCTAAGTCTGCAGCTGTGGATGAAAATGTGATTATTAAAAATATCCCAGACTCTAGAAGAAGGGCCACCTCTACTCTATATAATTATGTATTGAACGAATGGAAAAATAATTGGGAACAATCTAATAGAAATTGTGGTTTACTGAAAAATATAAATATTGAAAAGAAAATGAAGTTATATAAAGATATAGATGCCAATCAAATGCTTACGGGACATGGACGCTTCCCTGCATATTTGAAACGTTTTGGATTGCAGGACAATGATAAATGTAATATTTGTAATGTCACTGGAGACTCTATGCATTTCTTTGAGAACTGTATTATTACTGGGAGTGCAAGGGATAGATATCAAAAATATTATAGAAGTGATTTCAAGAAAAATTATAAGAACTTTGTGGAATATTCTAGACAAATTATGAAGATTGTGAATAGCTCAAGAGAAGCCATAGGAATCTATGTGTGAATGGTGTTTTTGTATTGTATTTGCTTGGTTATGTGTTGTCTTATTTTTATTTTCTAACAGTTCTTTATTATTTTATTATGTTCGTTTGTGTGAATGTTTAAGGTCCAGTGATGACATGAAATTCACTGGTCGTATTTATGATTTTGTTTAGTTCTCTTTTTTCTAACTTTTTGTTACTCGGTTCCTGGGGCTTTTGGTTTCCCGGGATTCATAGTTTAATATTTTATTTGTTTGTTTTTCTTTGTTAGTTTTTTGAGCACGGCCGGGTCTCTGGCCCCTCGTTTGTTGTTAGATGGGCCGGCCCTTGTGATAAGTCATATGACCAAGTGTTCTTGGTTGGGTGGGCTGAGGGCTGCACCCCCGTTAATTCACCATATTTGGTGTCATTTCAGCTGATAGATCGAGCTACAGATGACTCTGAGTATTGTCAGTTTAAAAAGAAGTTGGATTAAACTGATCGTGATCTGCGCCTTTCACATGCCTATGAATTTCTTCATACCATTTATTTTACCAGCAACATTTGCTTTTTGTTCCATTCTCATCATGTTTCCTATTATATTTCATAAAAAAAAACATTTTTATTAAAAGGCCTCACTTGATGGTTTGGTCTTTATGGAGGTAGAGGTTATGGAGGTTTGGGAGACCTGATATTCAATACCGAAGTTTATTTATCTGGTTTAAAATGTTAGTTAGATTAAGCGACAGTCACCACGAGATGCTTCACAGTATTTAATTTTAAAATGTTTTTAAAGTAAAATTCAAAATATGTTGTCAACGCTATGACGTAGGTATAGGAGGCGGATCGCCCTGGAGACATATTTTTAGAGCAGCATTTTTCATGGGAAGTATAGTATTATAGGGGGTAATCGTATGTATCTCTGGAGCAGAAAGAAAGATTGAGATCTATTCGATTACAGTTTATTTGCCTAAAAGAAAGGATATCTTCATGGAGGACTAATATTTTCCACAAAACCTGGAAACTGGCTCATTACTTTACAAAAGGGGTAGTAGCTCGTATTCAAGTCATTTGCATGTCTGAATACAACGTTAAATACGATACGATAAACATAATGTAAACCACGGAAACGTTTACTGAGCCAGTGCCTTTTGTGAGGAATTTGATCTCAGTTCGAACTACCGATTTTTACCGGTTAGGTGAAGAATCACGAGAACCTGAGTATTCGTACGAAGCTTTTGCACTGTTTTTACCCTGAACAAAGCAATAAAAAATAAAATTACAAAGGAATTTCATTTCATGTCTCGCTTTGCTTCCTTATTTCATAAAAATACTGAATGAAAAATATTAATGTCAAATTATGATTATAATGAAGTAAAAAAAGAAGCGTTCCTCCCTGTGAGAGAAATATTTCAGAGTTTTACTTCTGTTATTGTTTGGGAAGATGAAATATAGTGATAGAAGAATGGTTGCTTTAAAATTTACAGTTTATTCTAAAACAAGACGCAATTTCAAATATTGTAATACAACTGTGAAATTTTGTCACAATATTTGCAAGTACTATTCGTTATAAGAGGAAATTTTCTAACTACGAACAGGTTAAGAATCATTTAAGAGCTAAAAGCAAATATCCCGTATTTAAGAAATCTTACTGTTTTGTCTGCAGAAGGACAATCGAAGTAATAACAAAAGTAGCAGAATATCATCGATGATTTGCCAGCAAAATAGTTTAGTGTAACGGAATTAAAGGTTTACTTCAAAAATAAACACACGGGTTTTATGTATTTACGTTTCATGATGATGGTGGTGGCTGGTGGTCCATGATAGGTGGTGCTGTACAACTACATTTCATCTTGTGTGCAACTATATTTTCTATACAACGTAAATAGATTTCCTCTCTGTGCAACTATTTTTTACCCAACCAGAAACGTTATATGGAATATTGCTTGGGGGTAATATAGATTCAAAACCAAGAACTGTTACTTTAAAACAAGCATTTCAAGGCAACGCTTCCCTCACTTACGATTGTAACCTGTGTTGTCATATCACTTCACAGATGGCGTTAGGGGATTTTAGCAAATTAGAGGATCTGATCTTTTTGCGCAACTGCCATTACCATGGTAACTATGCAAACGGAAGGAAGAATGTCCTTGTAGTGCTTATTCCAAAGTAGCCAATTATAGTAAGAATATGCGAAACATAAATTTGGAAATAGTGGTTATGATATGGAGTGGATTGTTACAGGAAAAAGAGTAAAGAAAAGGAAAAAAATAAAGGAATAAAACAATTAAAGTGCATTTTTCAACTTATTTTTTTAATTAATCTGTGAGATTATTGATAGTACTCTGATATATAACTAAATAACATGGGTATCCTTGCTAATCTCAAGTTTTCAAGCATAGAACACTCTTTGACACCTCGAAGATGTGCTGTACTTTCAAGCAGTGATGTAAATCATGACCTTTAAGAATAGATATTGTTGATAACGGAAGGTGCATACAATTTTTCCTTCATCTTTGACTCGTGAAAAATGTACTGCTAAATACGGTATTAAGTTATCATTTATAAAATTATTTTATCTGAACGTCTTTAATAACATTTTTGAAAGAACTGCTATTTTATACCACGAGTGTCATATCGAAAACAAGTTTCTTTAATTCCATAACTAAATTTCTAACTCTACCTTTTGTGTGCATTACTATTCGCAATCGAAAATGTAATACGATGAAATGGTCATGATGAAATTTTGCAGTAATACACTGATTTCAATCTTATTTTTGTATATTATGTTTCATTCAGAAAAGAAATGCGAAACTAATTCCGAGTCTTTTAAATCGAAAAGTTTGAGTTAAGTTTTAATTTTATTCAACAATTTTCCTGAGTTGGCAGCAGAATATATTATTTTTATGTCAAAAAAGAAGCGTAATTTGATTTTTTTAAACTCATAAATCTGTTTTTCTTTATAACTTTTTAAAATATACTCTTCTTTGAGGTGTTAGATTGAAATCTGTAGTTTCCATTTTACAAACTTCCTATTGGCAGTCATGTACATCATCGTTCAGTGAATGAGAATAATTTTACTAAAATTTTTAAAGTAAACACCTTTTATTACTGATCGCTTCTGAAAGTAATCAATATTTCTTACAACATAAACACGAACATCTTTCCTAAGGTAAGCACCTCCTCAAATATATTGTCTTCAGCTGTAGATTAAATAGTCTTGAGTTGTGTGTGGTTGTCTTGAGGAAATCTGACTGTATATGAAAGCAGGAAAAACATAACAGTTAGGAAAGATTTCGAACAATAAAAGTAAACTCTCGTTTAGCCTTCTAATTCAACAAACAGGTTATCGTGTTCTCTCTTAAAGGTCTAAAGCACTAATTAGAAAAAAAGAAAAAAAAAAAAAAAAAAAAGGAGCGAAAACATAAACTAAAAGTTTATTTACTGTACGAATTGTAAATACAACAAAAGAACATAACAACTTAATTACCGTTTTTTGAGGGGTCTGAAAGTACCTTTAGTTTAAATATGTATTGAATTAAAAAGTCCAGCGTTAATACCTGCCCCCTCAAAAGCCACAAGGCACTTATCGAAATTAGTGTAGATTTTAAGTGGGCGGAAACACGATAGAAGCCGTTTTCTAGTTTGCGTTGCCAAACCCCCTCTGTACCTTTCCTTTTTTATCGCTATTTAAAACTCTGTTAATTTATGTCTTTAGTGAGAGTGACAAAAGAAATACACACAGTGAACATAAAAATAGCGGATTAATTACACTAAATGTTAAAAAGTGACCAATCTTTCTGAGAATAATATTAGTCTGTCTGTATTCAGCGTCATCTCTTTAAAACAAGCATATCCAGCGAAAATTAAAATCATTTGGAACTATAAGCAGAGAATCGACGTGTCTGAGAATTTTCGTTGTATTTTAAGCCTTAAAACTTTTATAACTAACAGTTCGACTTAAATAGACAACTGACGAACACATACAACTGGTATAATTATGAGGGCTAAATTATCTTAAAATATGTAATTATTTATTACATAAAAACAAACATAAAGATCAGCGATTGGGTACGTGACGTATTTCAAAACAGTTGTTTTCCCTATCCTAGTTCACACGCATCTTTTCTTTTACGTAATCGAGAACTGAGTCTGACCTTAACAGCCTTCTAATCTAACTTAAATATTATAAACTTAAAAGAATCTCATTACAGCCATCGCCTCGGGGGTAAGTAATATGCTACTGAGCACCTTACGGCGTATTTGGGTTTCCTCAGTGAAATATTTTCCGCTGTCCCCATTTTATTCTTCTGGATGTGACTTATTTCGCGCCAAATATTGACTCTGGAAAAGTTTCAGAACTAACTTTTCTGTTTTCGTTCGCAATATCCGGAATATTCGCTTCGAATAGCAAATAGAGGATAACTGGACTCTTGACACGTTTGGGTGACATCGAGGCGTTATTACGCGTTGTTATTTAGCTATATGTCTGGAAGCTGATGACTGTGAAATATAATTTCAGTTTCCGCAATGCTAAGAAAGAGTGTTCTCAAGCTTAGCTGTAAATTTCGAGGTAATTATACACATACTTAGGTCGTCTAATGCAAGTTTTTTCTTGCAGAGCGATAACGTGCACACCCAAGTTTAAAATGTTAGTTTAGATGAATGTTTCTCTAAAATTTCTCTTAGGGTAAGTGTTTCGTGATAATGTAGTTGAACCAGTAATGTATAATTAATGCCAAAATATTTAATTAGCCTAAAGTGGCAATTTTCCCAGAAGGATTATTAATTTCGTTTTGTCATTTTGCATCATCTCGTCCACTACGCTTCACTTTTCAAATTTTGAATTCATTACTTTTCCACCAAATATTACAGCCCTGCGTTATATTTAAAAAAAATTAAATAATGAAGAATGTGCATCATGTATGTATGTTTCTCATATTGTGAAGAAACAACAGTACCTAGAAACATTAAAATTGGAATAACGTAATCCTCCATTCGACTATGGGCATCTGGGAGCCCAGATTTAGAATTTGGAGTTGGTTTTATTATCTATTTCATATTTGTAAAGCATTTATGATTTTTTAATTAATAAATTCAACGATTTCAAAGCGAGCAATGGCAACACTGTACCAGAAAAAGCGTTTTTATCTCCAGCGAGCGAGACTGTCCATCGGAAATTCTAAAGACAGGCTGCTTTTAAATATTTTCTGATATTGCTGTTGAATTAAACTTTATGGTTTAAACGCAGAGAACATGGTATTTAATAAATAAAGGTAACACACAAAAACGTTAAAAAAAAAAAAAAAAAAAAAAAAAAAAAAACCTTTGGGCGGAATATAAAATCTGAAAACTTTCAGATTTTTAAAAATTTATTATTTATTTATTAATTTTACTATTTTTTTAATATTTTTGCATTGAACGATTGAAAAAAATTAATATTTTCGTTTAATATATGAAATCTTGTCCTGAGAAATCGAAACATAAAACGAATGAAGATAATCTAAAAGTTGCTCTTGGGAGAAAGACCTTTTAATTTACGAGTACCTTCCAGTCACCTTAACGCACAATGGTTTCTTGGAATGCTGTCATTCAGGAAAACAGAATTGTAACCAATCCCTTAACATAAACTGTTGGATTAACTGTGGCATAAAGGCTGCCCTCTGGTGAATAGCCAGAGAAGTACTTCAGTAAAAGCCAAGCGTCCCACTTGATAGGTTGTATCAGACCTTTGCTCTGTAATATTCTTAAAGTTAAATGCAATGTCCGTGTGTAACTTAAACCTGTTAATAAATACTTGTTACACTATACAGGACTCTTCTGTGACCCTATCTAAAACGACCCCTTCACAGAGTGGTGCCCAACGTGGGGCTTGAACTCACAACCCCAGCATTATAAGTACCGTGCGCTCCACTCTGTGAAGGGATCGTTTTAGATAGGGTCATAGAAGAGTCCTGTATAGTGTAACAAATATTTATTAACAGATTTAAGTTACACACGGACATTACATTTAACTTTAAGAATATTACAGAGCAATTGTCTGATACGACCTACCAAGTAGGACGCTTGACTTTTACTGAAGTACTCCTCTGGTTACTCACCAGAGGGCAGCCTTTTGATGTCACAATCCAACAGTTTATGTTAAGGGATTGGTTACAGAATGTTTTAATTTCGGCTCAAGCATCTGTTATAGATTAATAAATTGGGGTGTTTAATAACACAGAAAGCCATTCACAATAATTCAAGCCTTTATT